TGCCATAAGTCTGAAATGACTTGAAGGCACACAACAAGAAAGCCCTAAATAAAATGCAACACCATTTGGCACAAGCTTTGGGTTGTAACTGGAAATCAAGCTTATGATTGTTCCCAGAAACCTGTAGAATTCAGGTTTGATAATCAATAACTGATGTCCATGGAAAAAGGTTTGGTGATGCCCCCCCATGCCTCTGTATCCATATTGTCCTGACCATGGGAAGAGAAGTCCAGAAGCTTCATTGCCTGCATAAAATACATATAAGCAAGTATCCATAATTATTATAAAAGACTTCCTTTTGCTTGCTATATCGAGTTCTAAAATATGTCAAAGAAAAGGATGTAGAGAACTGCACACATACAACCCCCCTTTTGAAGCTGCCCCTTCCATTTTCTCTGATTTTCCTCACTTTAAATAGTTCAATTTTGGCAGAGATAGGGCAGAATAAAGCTTAGAAGAGAAAAACAATCTTGGCACAACCCTGCTCTGAGATCTCAGGAAACACCAAGATATAGTAGTATAGTCCTTAGATGGATCTGCACTGAGTTTGGTAGTTCTTCCCCTCAGGAAAGTAGGTTCAGGATTGCAGCCCAAGTTACTTTGCTGACCACTCTCAAATAGGGTTGTCATCATTCTCTACCACAAAACCAAGAGGGGGGATTTAGGACAAAGGGTAGGACAAAATGTAGGACAAATGTTGGACAAAATATATCCAAAATGTAGGACATTCAAGAAAAAATGGAGGCCATGACCAACTAAAATCCCAAAACATTAATAAAATTAAAAAAATAATATAAATCCATGTTGCACTTCACCTCCAACCTCAGGAAGGCCTTGCCGTGCCAGCTGTGCCTCAGGCCCAGGGAGAGCTCCCTGGCTTTGCCATGCCACTGGATCAGGATCAGGGAGGTGGTGGTGGCAGCTGACCAGGCCCCAACCCCCCACGCGAGGCCTGGTGGCCTTCAGAGGCCTAGGCCTCACTGCTCTCCACCACCACCAACGCCAGAAGAGAAGCAGTGGCAGCTGAGTAGGCCCAACCCCCCCCCCCCCCCCACTGTCCTGGAAAGCCAACAGCATGGCTGATAGTCAAGACAAGGGAAAGTCCCAAACCAAGTCTGAGTTACTGATCCAAAAGGGCAGCCAGCGAAGAGTCAAACACAGGTCGAAGGTTGAGGGTTTCAGAGAAGCTGAGAGTCAGGCAGTCCAAAGTCCAGGGTTTCAGAAGTCCAAGAGCAGTCAACGGTCCAAGGGTCAAGGGGTCTCTGTAGTCCACGATAAGTCAAGAGACAAGGGTTCAGGCCTAGGCACAAGAGAAGCCAGAGACAGAGGCTTTCGCCAGGAAGCTCAGATAACCTCTGGCACCGAGACAGTGCTTCCCTACTTGCTTAAATCCCTGAGCTGCTGGGGCTCAGCTGGGGCTGATTGCCTTGATGACCTCAGCATTGTTCATAAAGCCTCCTTGTGCGCCAGAGGCCCGCCATTTCGGCTCCACATTGACTGAAGGTAGGTACAGTCCCTCAATCCTCTTCCATATCCAATGGCTCTGTTGTCGGAAGGCTTGGCTGCAGAGCTTCTTGAGAAGCCACAGGGTCTGCTGGAGGTTCTGTGGGAGCTGGCAAAGCAGAGCTCCTAGGGCTGGGCTGGGGCTCCTCTGTTGCAGACTCAGGACCCAGAGGGAGGTCTGGCTCATCCTCCAAGTCCTCTGAGTTTTCTTCCAGAGAGGGCATGACACCACCCAGCCAGGCCTTGAAGGCCCCAACCCTCCCACCCAGCCCCAAGTGAGGCAACATTGGTGGGTCGTTGTTCTAAAACTGGGCCAGGACATTCCCAAAAGCTGAAAAATCAGGAATGTCCCACCCAAAAATGGGATATGGCAACCCTGCTCTCAAGGCTACTTCTTCCAATTGGGAAGCTTCAGAAGTGCCAAACACTGGACTTGATCCAGTCAGGCTCTTCTAAAACACTGGAGGATGACTGCCATTTTTTAGTGCCTGTAGAAGAGCTTGGGTCAGATCTAGTGTTTTGCTAACCTAGTTTTGGGGACTACAACTCTCAGAATTCTCCAACTAGCATGGTCAACTCTGAGATGAAAGGTCAATATGGTACTGTGCTTTCCACAATGGCCAGCCAAATTTCTCTGAGGAGTCCACAATAAGAATAGCTTCTCCTTCTGCTGCCCTCTCCTCCTTAACTGCTGGTGTCCATTGGCTTAACCACTCTGAATATACAGAATCTATATATTTAGCGTGGCTTCCATCTCAATGGGATGGAGAATCCACCCTGAGTTTTAGCATGAACTATAAGCTGCTATCCTCAGAACAGGTTCAGCACCTTGAATAGATCCTTCAAAGTTTAGAGTAAAACCCAAAGTAAGCTTAACAACCTACTGTTTTCATGACCGATCATTATCAACCCTTAGTGTACCTTATTCCCTTTTAAGATTATTTAATAGGTTATAGAGTAGTTTGGTTTGAGCATTGGACTAGGACTTGGAAACCAGGGTTTGAATCCCGGTTCAGCCATGTAAACCCACTGAGTGACCTTGGGCAAATTACACTCTCTCAGCCTCAGAGGATGGCAGTGGCAAACCTCTTCTGAACAAATCTTCTCAAGAAAACCCCATGATAAGATTCACCTTAGGGTCGCCATAAATCAGAAATTACTTGAAGGCACACAACAAAAACAACTTCTTCAAATATGGGTAGAGGAATTGTCTTTTGTCCTATTTTGGCCAATATATAAAGCTGAAATAAAAGTGGAAGGAGCACCTATATATATACATATACACACACAAATGTACGAGGTACTCTCAGTTAACATTAATCAAGCTGGAATAGCTGTATCACAAATTTATGCTCATGCTAACTTGTTGAGTTAAAGAACCAGCAGAGCATGTGATGTTCCCAACCTCTAGAGACAGGCTGATGCTGCAAAATTCCCATCTGGCTCACCAAACACAACAGTTCAAGGGAGGGAGAGAGATTTTCATCTGGCATGATTTACTCTTCTATGATGAGAGCCCTTTGCAAACATATATTCAGATGCAGCCTTGAAATATAGACAGGTATTCCACCACATTGGAGAGCTAACCATTCAGATGCCTTGTCACTGTCTTTTTACAGGTTGCATTGTTTGGATGTTTTGTGCGCTAAGGTGTGGCAGGCATGAAGTTGTTTGCCTAGTGAAAACTGCTCTCCCTATTCTTATCAGCGTGTTGCTATGCCAATACCTTGTTGCTCTTCTTCATATCGTTGCCTAGCATGTGAGTGGCAGTATCTAGCTATTGCAGAACCCGATTGCAACTTCTGATTGGTTTTCATCACTCTCAAGAGCATTTTTGTCATGTTTCTGTAGTCATGGAGGAGTTATTTGGTCATGCAGGGAAAATTTGTCCTGTGGTTGCTCCCCTGATGATTCAGTATAAAACAAAGGAGAACTCTAAGGACAATTCATTTACCAATTTAAACTACTGATGACCGATGAGTTAGGGGATTGTTGTTTTTCCATTACTGACTATAAACTCATTTCTAGAATAGCAAACTTTGGCATTCATGAGTAAAATTTACCATTCTAGTTCTAGTGTATTACATAATTTTCCTTCCAAGTGGAAGACCGGAGTTATCAATATCACCAGAATACTGTATGATCATTACATACTATGTAACACTGTAACTATGGTGCTACTCAGCAGATTCTGGACAGACCTGCCCAAACACCACTTACCAGCATGCAATTGCTGGGATTTATAGTCCATTCCCCTGTAAATCATCAAGTGGCTGCCTGACATTCCCACCCCCTCTGCTGAGTCTCAGCACCTCCTTATTGGTAAGGTTTTCATGGTCCTACCTCACCCCTATATTAAGGGTGACATAGGGATTCATAACTTTAGGTTATGTATTTGTAACTGTCTAACAGGATTCTGGACGTCATTGGTAACTGGTTGTCTGCAGCAGGGAGGACAGAAGGTAAGATCAAGTTCCCCTGGTAGATCTCTAATTCATAGAAGACTTGCAGAGGTGTCTGAACAGTTTAACTTCCATGAGCAGCATCCTGTTTGTGACATAAACACACATTAAGCATAAGTTTTAAATCTCTTTTTGAATGAGGCTCCAGCCTTTTGCACTTCATCCAAAATGTCCCCATCTGGCAGCTGTCAAGCCTTTGGAAGGGCCACTACCAATGCTGGTTATTGATGGGGAAGAGGCAAAAAATTGATATGAAAATGGGGCTACTCTGACCTCCCAGTGGAAGGAAAAGGAGGATGCATTCTATCCATGATCATAGGAGGGCCTTAGGACCAATAAAAATTGAGTAAAATCAAAGGCATCCCTTGTTGCAATCATATTCTACCAATGGTCTTCTTAAAAGCAATCAAGATTATTAACCTTTCTTATCCTTTGAATGTTTCATATATTGTGGTTTAAGGTACTTCTTTTCAAAGGAAAATTGCACCTGACCTAGCAGAAGAGGATGGTGCGAAAAAAGTGACTCCAATTTCAAAGCAATTGCTTTATGTGCAGTTGGTCATATCCTACCTATGGACTTCTCAGAAGCAACTAGCCACTGTGTAAACAGAATGCTAGCCTAGATAGTCTCTGATCTAGCATCACTCTTTTAAAAAGTTCTTAAGTCCTAGTTTTTGCAGATATTCTTATGGAATCACTGCTATGGCTCACTAAAGTTCAAATACTACAGCAGCCTACCCCATCTTTGTACCTTCCAAGTGTGGTCACCATTGGTCATACCATCTGGGGATTAGTTGGATTTCAACACATCTGGAGAGTACCAACTTGTTCCATCCTTAATCAGGGCATTTCTCATATGCAGCTCTCCAAACACAGTGGTGCTATCCTATAAGGTATCTTTTCCTAGTACTTCTGCAAAATGTTTACTGAACAGCAGTAATACTTTTGTCTTTCAGTCATGGTTCTCTGGATCCAAGAATGCATTAGTATTAGACATACCAAAGCATGTCATTTGTGGTGGCCATCAAAAGCAGAGCCAGTGTGGTGTAGTGGTTTAAGCATTGGACTGTAACTCTGGAGACCAGGGTTCAAATCCCTGCTTGGCCATGTAAATCACCAGGTGACCTTGGGCAAGTCACACTCCTCCTGCTTCAGAAGGATGGCCATGGCAACCCCCCTCTGAAGAAACTTGCCAAGCAAACCCCATGATAGGTTTACCTTAGGGTTGCAAAAATTGGAAACAATTTGAAGGCACAAAACAACAGTTGAGCTTTTTTGTATGACTTGATCACTTCGAATGCAGTCTTACTACTCATGTTAAATAAGATGATGGTTAGACCACAACCCCTTCCAGAACCATTATACCAACTGTTTGTAGTTAAGCGTGATAAACATTGCAAAACTGAATTAGTCTAATTATCCATCCAAGCTAATGTGTTGTATGTTTCCTGCAAAATTTTCCTTAATATCAATGGTGTTGCTACGGAGGTGCAGCCCACACCAGGTGACACTCCAGAAGAGGGGTGACAACTGGTTGGGCCCTAAATGATTTGCTCATAAGACCTCTGCCACCACAATAAAGGAGAGGGACAAGCATGCCTTTTTGGCTGCTGCCACCCCCCTGCATTGGGTGACACCAGGGGTGGGGACACCACTGCTTATTAACAAAATGTATACATGATCTGGCATTTAAAAAGCTCACATACTGGCAGGATGGAAATTACCAAAAGGAAATTAGTAAGTCAAAGAATCAGTAGCATTTGCTTGAAAACTGCAAGTGACTCATAATTTGTGGTAGCAGCTGTTCTGATGCATGGGATCTTCCACCCAACACCTTCCCCAGGACAGCTGCTTTCTTGCCTGCCACCAATAGGAATGCTACTGGAAGGGACTGTGGCTCTCATCTCTTAACACCAATCCTGTTAATTTTTCTCATCCTACTGGAATGGAATGTTCTGAATGCTATCATTTGCCAAGTGTGTTGAGAGGAGGAGATATTTGCAGTTGACTTCTTGCCTCATCATTGGAAACATCTCTTTAAGAGAACAAAAGCAAGCCAAAGGATATAGCCAAGAAGATCCAACCTACAGCAAATTTTACATCTGGTGACTTGGTTGACAAGTTGCTATGTCATCACTATCTGCCTAGGAACATCAGTGTTTGTTGTAGTTGTTTTAGTCCACCTTTATTGTAACATGGCAAAGAGACATGCCACAATCATACAGGCACATAAAATTAACCTGCAATATTGACTGCAGATCCCTTACATAGGGAATTTTCCTCATTATCTTTATTGCTCCATGTAAATCAGTCAAATTTAAATTGAAAGTTGGTGAAGATCTTCCTTTTCTAGGAAGGCTTTCATTGGGTAGTTTTACTGTTTTTATTACTCTCTACTTTTTAAAATATTTTATTGCTTTGTATTGGGAGTTTGGTTTTGACATTTTCTTCTGCTGTTGCTTTATTTATTTTATGTTCTATAGGGATTCTTTTTTTAAAAAAAATGTCTGTCGTTGCTATTAGCCATCTTGAGCTTTTTAGAAAAATAGGTAAAATGTTTTAAATATATAAAATATATGCTATTGTAAAGCCAAGTGCATAAGCCTTAGTTCAACTCCACTAACTGTCCTTAGGTAAGTACAGTCAGCCCTCTGTATCCACAGACTCTTTATCCACAGATTCAACCATCCACGGTTTGAAAATATATAAATTCCAAAAAGTAAATTTTGATTTTGCCATTTTATATAAGGGACACCGTTTTACTATGCCATTGTATTTAATGTGACCTGAGCATCCATGGATTTTGGTATCCAAGGGGTCCTGAAATGGATACCAAGGGCCCACTGTAGTTACTTTTGAAGGTGGGATAGCAGTGGTAGCCCACTTAAGCATTAGAACAAATATAAACAAGACCAAAATAATGTTTTGCAAATACTAATTTCTCAAAAATTAGTTCAGTCCTTTCATTTGGGTCAGGACAGCTGTGCCCCTTCAGATATTGTTAGATTTCAACTCCTATAAGCTCTCATCATTAGCTACTCTGGCTAGGGCTGTTTGGAGATGCAGTTCAACATTTGGAACACCACAGTTGCCCACTTTTACGGTAAGTTAAAGATACAGCGTTCCCATGTCTTTTAAATTCCTGTTGTTGCCTAGGAAGTATCTAGGATTCTACACAACTGCAAAACCCACAAACAAATACATCATCCCCACCCAAAGGTTGAAGCTTCCCAGTCTTAAAGGCCAATTGCACTTCTTACAATGTTCTTCCTTCTGTAACATTTTTATTAAATTTATTCTATAGACACATAACCTAGACTTTTTCTAAAGTCTGATCCCTTCTGAACTCAGAAACAAGACCCTTAAGCTACATATATTCTGTAAAAATAAAACAAACAAAACCAAAGAAGCACAGCATTTTATATTAGATACTGATATTGTCTGACACTTTTTCATGGTGAAAATTAATATACAAATGTTTCCATTTCTTTACCTATAGAGCTGGAGTAGGGATGGCTGAATGCAATGTTCAAGGCTCAGGGCTTCACATCCCCAGCCTTGAAATCTTTGTGCCTCTCATTATGTGTTAGAGATGCAGAAAATAATAAAAAATAAACAAAAATTCACCCCAGAAACAAAAAAAGGTAACCATGTTAACTTGTAGAGGGGGGGGGGAATCTAGAGGACATCTATTACAACAAACCAAAATGTCACAAAATATAGAGCAAAGTTCTGAAATAAAAGAATTGCTGGACCAAAGATTTTGGAAGGGAATAGAGTTCAGATTCTTTGTGCAAATGTTCCTTTGATTCAGAACATGCAATTTTACTCTGTTGAGAGAAGGTTGCCCAATATGTTCCTCTGTTTTGTGCTTTTGTTTACAGGATTCATTTGTCACAGGTCTCATTCTAAAGCCTGTTTTGTTCATGTCACATTCCTCCCCTTTTTTCAATCATGCTTGGTAACTCGTTTCTATGACTCTCCGCACAAGATTTTAACCACTAAAAGTGTCCCTTTCCATAAAATGTTTTTTCCAGAATTACAGGTAACACAGACTGTATGAGAAGAAATTGTGCCACTTGCCTGTGGATCCCCAGAATAGTCAGAATCAAGCCAGTTTGTGAGCAAGTAAATTAAGATTGTCATAAATATGAAAGGCAAGCACAAGTTCATTTATTTATAGCAAAGGTCTTGGGTTACAAGAGGTCAGTTCTTGCCATCTTGAAGAAACGTTAAACGGGTTAAGTTATTGCATACATGTGCATTAAAATTTAGCAGCAAGTCATTTACAGAACACATTTACCATTCCTACTGCCATCTATTTATTCATTTGGTTTAGTTTCTCAAATTCTATATAGATCTATATATTTTCAGCTTTTACAAAGCATGTAACAACAACTTTAAGTTAATGGTCTTTTATTGGAAAAAAAAGACTAGCATTTACAACTTGGAATGGACATTAACTGTAGTATTTTGAACAGCGATGTTGATAGTTGTGCTGAAGTCCACAGGCTACTCCGCCAGCTCCAAGTCTTGATACAGAAGGTTTTTAAAATGCGAGAGAGAGAAAAAGAGAGAGAGAGAGACAGTCAAGGAGCACATGCCCAAAGATGCTCCTGCCCCTTAATGAAGGTTTCTTTTTAAAAGTTTTGTGAAGGGTAACAGCCCAACACTTGTTTCACAACAGTGCAATGCAGACAATATTAAAACCAATGTAACACAGACTTGCCACCCATAGCCTCAGTCATGGACTTGTTTGTTTTTTGAAACAAACTTTTTCTACATATAGGAGAACCTTCTATACCTTTAGGGGCACTTTATCTCTAAACATTTTGCATCCTTCAACCATTTTTGCTGCATACCATCCTGAGGTATAGACCAATTTGAAAGTAAACCCAGCTATGACAATTTTATAACTACAAATTGAACCAGAATCCACTTTCAGAGAAAAGAGTGGCCTGGGCATTTTTTAAAAGATTTTTTTCTCTCTTTTTTTTAAAACTGTTTTAATACAAATGTCTGACTGTGCTCAATTGTCAAGCTGCATGCATGTAAAACTGGCCAGCCCAAACAGTGTAATAGTCATTAGCAAATGGAACTTTCTAAGGAGTTCACTAAGTGCTTTCTTATTTTTTTAAAAGGTAGTAAGTACAATTATTTATATTGGGGGGAAAACTGATGTTTTACTTGATCTTTTGGGAACAGGACCACCAACCATTACATGCAGTTTGTGGACAGAAGGTATTTTGACATTCAGTTTTGCTATACAGAAACAGAATGAATAAATGAACATTTTTTTGCAAGAGGTAAGTAAAAGATTCAATTTGATTCTTCTAGAGGAAAAATAGGTGGGGGGGTCTCTTCATTTTGCAGTCATCATCTGTACGAATTCTGAAAGAGAGAATGAAAGAAAAAACACTTTTAACCCCCTTTGAAAGGACGTAAAGCGAGCAAGCAGAATTTAGCACCAAAGACAACTATTCTGAGACATTCAAAAACAGTGAGGATTTCTAATGCTACAACATTAGGGTTTCATCCCTTCAAATTGCTATATATGAATATAGGAATATACCTTCATAGTTGACCTGTCCATCTCCATCGATATCTGCTTCTCTGATCATTTCATCTACTTCTTCATCTGTTAGCTTTTCTCCTAAGTTTGTCATAACATGGCGTAGTTCTGCTGCACTGATGTAACCATTGCCATCCTGGGAAGACAGTAAGTTAAAAAAGACTGAGACTTATAGGTTTTTAACAGTGGGCTGCATACTTACTAAACACTTTTCTTCTGATGTGCTTTTAAATTTGCTTTTCATTTGACAGCATATTTAATATGATTACTGCTTTATGTTTTAGTATTATAACTTACTGTGGTTTTAGTTCTGTTCCATATTAACTTGTTACAGTTTTATGCATCTGTTTGAATCCTGTTGTAAGTGGTCATGGGTCTTGACCAAGCGAAAAGGTAAGATACAAATTATATAACTGAATGAATAAATAAATAATTTCAGGGCAAAAGTTTGATGCAGTTCCTTATCAGCACAATCCTATGCAACATCCTCCCACATATCCTCCCCAAGGCCTTGCCATTCAACAACAGACCAACA